ACTCTGCATTAGTCGCAATCCTAGACCCAAGAGGGGAAAGACTAAAACTAACTGGTTTATACAAATACTCAGACGCAGAATGGGCCAAAGTAGACATATATGTACAAATGGTAGGGCAGGTGTTCATTAATGTACCATACCTTTTCACTCACGTATTGTTGGTGAAAATCGCATCCATGCCCAAAACATCCAGCATGACAACTGTGTTTATAAACTTCCATCGACATAATCATTTTTTTGTGAAACAATTTAGGTCATGACAATTCCAGATGCCATGATGATGTGTCCCGTGCCGTCCGGTGACTTTGACTACTAACTGACATTGGCATAAAGTCAACAGAAACAACAGGACAGGCTTGGGGCAATCCGGCAACAATTTGAAAGTCTTCCTACACTCATCACTCATGATTTTAACCACAAAAAACACACTAACAGTGGATAGATAATTCATTTATCTTTTGCAAACAATTCGAATGGTGAAAATTCTACAGCCATCGTTTTGATAATTTCACAATCTGAAACTGCTTGTGCTTAACACCCTCCCCAAGTTCCCAAACTTAGCTCAGCTACAGAAAGACCCGCTGGACATAAATAAAATTTACTCTCAGTGTCATTACTGGAGCAGACATTTGCTGTTTCAGAAGATCAACTTAGCTGCGCGGTGACCACACTTATAAATGGATGACGCAACTAATTGACTAAAAATATAAAAAACTGCATAGATTTAGACTTTAGTAGTCGACTGTTGCACGAAAACCCCTTTGTATTAAAAAACAGACCATTTCAAGACAATCGTACAAAGATACTCACTGTTGATACATTCCACTCCAAAATAACTGAAGGGTCCGGTCTCAAATACCATACTTTCACCTCCTATTTCTACTTCAACTGTACCTAAATGAGACATCTTGGAATTAGTGCATTCACATGTTTCACTTTTACAGATTATGATTTTCTAGTCAGGTTGTCTTTGCACACTTACAACTACATAATCATTTCAGCCTCATACTGTAAACCATACGAGTCAGCAGTTATGAGAATTCAAATGTGTGCATATTCAACCTGCAAGATAGAATCTAGCCCCAGATTATATGTACATACAAACTTAAAAAACACACCCAAACACACTAATGCATGCCGGCGCACTCTCTCTCTCTCTCTCTCTCTATCTCTCTCTCTCTCTCTCTCTCTCTCTCTCTCTCTCTCTCTCTCTCACGCACCGACACGCACACACACACTCACACACACAATTAAGTCCGGTCTTTAAATAATGTAACTGATTTGATTATGATCAAAACAAAACCCGCGTCCATGAAGCAAGGCAGGTCACCCAAACAGGCACCACTCGTCTAAGATCTGACACAGCTTTAACGCTGTCCGCCGTCAACAAACAAAATTCCTGTGTTTGTTCTGGGGCTTCATGGGGAAGGGAGGGGGGGGGGGCAAACCCACTGTCCCTAACAAGCATGTCGTACAAGGCGACTAATTATGGAGTATGGAGTTCCTTCGAAGTCAAAGTGCATCTTCCTGAGATAAAAGAAACCAACAATCTGCATGCATGCAAATAAGCCACATTTGTGGATGTGCATACACACGCCAAGTTCTGGAACAAACTCTAGAAATAGACCAGCAACCACACTTCCCGCTAGAGTTTAAAGCCACTGAAGGCTAAGAAGAAGGAGAAAGAGCAGACAACAAGTAATACACCATTTTGTTTAGCAAGTGGAAGTTGGAAGGTTACGAACGCAGCATAGAGCAAGCAGTAAACTTTTTAAGTTATATTTTTAACATACACACTTAAGCCCGGTCTTTGAATAATGTAACTGTTTTTTATTATGACCAAAACAAAACCACCGTCCATGAAGCAAGGCAGGTCACCCAAAACAAGCACCACTCGTCTAAGAGTCAACAGTCTCTTGAGACTGCTGAATTACTGAGACAAGTTTTTTTACGAATCAGTATTTTTCATCAATTCAACATCACACTCATCTGCCATTAAGCAATCTACCGACATGTATTCGTTCTCTAACTTTTTGCAGTGAGTTTATTTTTACGAAGGGAGCCGCTGTGGTGTAGTGGTTAGGGCTCGCATGCGGATTAGAAGATCGTGGGTTCGGGTCCTAAAAGGGGCGGATTAAAAAAAATGACCGAGGTCTGAGTCGGTATGAGGTAAAGTCATTGACTAACTGTTTACCAGTTAAACACTAATCACATAAACTTTGTCTTCAATGAAGCAGTCTAAAAAGGACTTTTTCGAGTTTAAACCAAAATTAAATGTTCACTTTTTGTTCCATGTTGCATTTGTAACAAAGCAGTTCTCACTAGCTGAATACATTTCTGGGTTATTTGTCGCCTGTCGATCAAGTAGCATTGCTGTCTGACCAAATCATAAGTCAGTTATGCTTGCTTGGATAACAGGTTTTGCTTCATGGGTGGCTCTTTGTATTAGCCATAATAAAATCAGTCTCAATATGTAATAGCAAGACTGTGTGTGTATTTGTCTGTTTATGTGTATATGTGTGAAAAGTAGAACCTCCAAAGATGTTTCATCAAGTAGATTTACGAATTCTGGTAGCTTTTGTTCTTCCCGGCTAACCCCTCGATATCGTCTGCAAACCTTAAGCTGTTTCGTCATCTTATGCAAACCTGTCCTTGATTTTCTTCTAAGACGTTGGTCATAATTCTTTCTAAGAAGATATTAAACAGTGTAGAAGAGAGAAGCAGCCCTGTCGGACTCCTGCTGTTGTTCGGAACCAGCTCCCTATTTGCCCGTATAGCGTGTCAGCAATGCTGACTTTGGCATAAAGCTGTTATATACTGTGTATGAGGGATTTACGCAATTTGTTGGGGTTTATCGTAACGCAGACTGCGGCATGCCTTTCTCTATCAACGACCTTTTAAAAATCAACAGACACATGGTACAGATGCTTTTGATGCTGGGGGAATGGCTCTCACAATATGCACAGATGAAAAATTTACTCAACCGTGCTTCTTTTATACCTGAAACGAATATCAACCCCCTCCCCAACACTCCTCTTCCTCCCAGTTTCTCCGCTATGATTCCTTCTGCTTGCGGCTTCAGTCTGTATATCAGTATCTGAAGAATGTCTTTTCTAGGGTGAGTGACAAGGCTTGTGGACAACTCTGACATTTTTGTAACTTCCACATGCGTGCGCCCATGTGTGCATGAGTGTGTGCATGAGTGTGTGTGTGTGTGTGTGTGTGTGTGTGTGTGTGTGAGAGAGAGAGAGTGTGGATGATAATAATAATAATGTGTGATTTGGTTCAATGAGATGGCCATCTACCAGTCTCATAAATTTTATTACAGATTTCTGTGAGGATGTCAATAACGCCCCTTCCTCCGCCCCCCCCCCCTCCCCCCTTTTCCGGATGTTATCACTGTCTGCGAGTAGGTTACCCCCCAGGTGTTTTCACTGTCTGCGAGTAGGTTACCCTCAGGATGTCATCACTGCCTATGAGTAGGTTACCCTCCGGATGTTATCACTGCGAGTAGGTTACCCTCCGGATGTTATCACTGTCTGTGAGTAGGTTACCCTCCGGATGTCATAACTGTCTGTGAGTAGGTTACCCTCCGGATGTCATTACTGTCTGTGAGTAGGTTACTCTTCGGATGTCATTACTGTCTGTGAGTAGGTTACCCTCCGGATGTTATCACTGTCTGCAAGTAGTTACTCGCCGGATGTCATTACTGTCTGTGAGTAGGTTACCGTCCGGATGTTATCATTGTCTGTGAGTAGGTAACCCTCCGGATGTAATTACTGTCTGCGAGTATGTTACTCTCCGGATGTTATTACTGTCTGTGAGTCGGTTACCCTCCAGATGTTATCACTGTCTGCGAGTAGGTTACTCTCCAGATGTCATTACTGTCTGCGAGTAGGTTACCTTCCGGATGTTATTACTGTCTGTGAGTAGGTTACCCTCCGGATGTCATCACTGTCTGTGCGTAAGTTACCCTCCGGATGTCATTACTGTCGTGAGTAGGTTAAGCTCCGTATGTCATTATTGACTGTAAGTAGGTTAACCTCTGGATGTCATTACTGACTGTAAGTAGGTTAACCTCCGGATGTCATTACTGACCGTAAGTAGGTTACCCTCCGGATGTCATTACTGACTGTAAGTAGGTTAACCTCCGGATGTCATTACTGACTGTAAGTAGGTTAAGCTCCGGATGTCATTACTGACTGTAAGTAGGTTACCCTCCGGATGTCATTACTGACTGTAAGTAGGTTAACCTCCGGATGTCATTACTGACTGTAAGTAGGTTACCCTCCGGATATCATCACTGTCCGTGAGTAGGTTACAATCCGGATAAAGATTTAGTTACCAATATTTTTGTTGTACAATGGAAAATACAAATGTAAATCACTTGGTTCTTGTTAAGATTCAACTAATTCTGGAATTGGTAAAGAGGAAGAGTCAAAAAGCACTGTGAAGAAGAGAAATTATTTCTTAATTTGATTTATCATTATAAAAAAAAAAATTACAAAAAAACATAATGTCCACAGTGAATACAGACCGAATTAACATCGACAACAAAGACATTGAAAATGCCACAGATTTTGAATATTTAGGTTCAAAAATAAATCACAATGGCGACTGCACAGAAGAAGTCAGAAGAAGATTCGCTTTAGCAAAGCAGAGGCTAAACAGCGTGAAGAACCTATGGCATAGCACCTGCAAGCAAGTTAAAGTGAAAGTTTTGAGATCATGCATCTTTCCCCTTGCAATGTGTGTGTCGATGATCCTCTCTTTTTAAATAGGAAAATAGAAGCTTTCGAACCGAAATGCTACAGAAAAATGGACTGATGACGATTCAACAAATTAGGTTTCATTTTCTAGTGACGAAGAAGCCTTTACCTTTGTATTTCTTACCTTGCAGTATAAGAACAAACTTATCTGATGGAATTCCTTTTCGGAATATGTAATTCTTATTAGGATGTGTAGCAGATGGGGTCAAGGTGACTACAATGTCCTTCCTCATTAAAGTCTTTAAAACATTTCTAGCCAGGTGGACATCAGAGAAAGGTTCCACAGCTAAACAAGAAAACAAATAAAATAGTGACAAACAGTACAGGGTTAATTCATTTGTCGGCGCTGGTCAATAATATTGCATCATCATGCTTTGACAGTAAGTTAGTGAGTGGGAGTAAGTAAGTGAGTGCGTGAGTGAGTGAGTGAGTGAGTGAGTGAGTGAGTGAGTGAGTGAGTGAGTGAGTGAGTGAGTGAGTGAGTGAGTGAGTGAGTGAGTGAGTGAGTGAGTGAGTGAGTGAGTGAGTGAGTGAGTGAGTGAGTGAATTAGTGAATGAGACAGTCAGTCAGTCAGTCAGTCAGTTAGTCAATCAGTCAGCCAGTAAGCCACTTAGTTTTAGTTACTTAGTTAGCTTGTTAAGTTAGTTAGTTTGTTTAGTTAGTTAGTTATTTAGTTAGCTTGTTTAGTTAGTTAGTTATTTAGTTAGCTTGTTTAGTTAGTTACTTAGTTGGCCAGTTAGTTAGTGAGTTAATTAGTTAGTTAGTTAGTTAGTTAGTTAGTTAGTTAGTTAGTTAGTTAGTTAGTTAGTTAGTTAGTTAGTTAGTTAGTTAGTTAGTTAGTTAGTTAGTTAGTTAGTTAGTTAGCTAGTTAGTTAGTTAGCTTGTTTAGTTAGTTAGTTAGTTAGTTAGCTAGCTAGTTAGTTAGTTAGTTAGTTAGTTAGCTAATCAGTCAGTTTGTCATTCAGTCAGTTAGTCAGCCAGTCAGTTAGTCTACAGATTATCCTCATGGCACATCCAACCAATCTGTCCAAAAGTTCTCGAACTCCCCTCCTTCGATAATTCAGCAGCATGTAACAGCTGACGATACCAGTTATGTGCTGGTTTGTTATTCTTTGGCTTCCTGCATAGTGCTTTTGTCTAGCCACACCCCTTTTAATATGTTGTTCTTGCAGTCTTGTCATGGTTGTAGATTCTCAGTCATTACCTGGTTCTCGCAAACGTCTTACTTCTAGTAGAACATTCAGAACATCAGCATGGTCCATTGCTTATCTGCCCTCCACAGTAACTTTACCTGCAGACCGATCAGCTAGCTCAATTCATTGTACGCCTGTGTAGCCTGGCACAAACTACGGAACTGGTATGTATCAGCTCCAACCGATTTAGAGATTCCAACCACTGTTTTCAGACCCAGCCTGTCTTTATCGTCCGGAACTCATCATGGTATTAGAACTATAAAGTTAGTTCAAGAGCAATAACACCTCACAATACCCAGAATGGCAGATTCAGAAATGTCTAATGCAACTAATCATATCTAAAAATAATTAACGCTAATTTGCTAAAACATATCACACATCCTGATTCAAAAACAGGTTTTGGAAAAAATCTGGTCACATTATATACACACAGTCCACTTCCTCAATGTATGGACTCCAATAAAAAAAATAACCCCACCACCATTCAGTCTTTGCATTTTCCACGCATACAACACACACACACACATGTGTGTATATTTATATATATAGATACATAAACGACATAGGGCAGAAAGTATGCAAGACAGATATCAGCTGACACTTAATGCAGTGATGATCTTAGATGTTTACAGGAATCCTAGCATCCATAATTTACTTCTAAAAATACTAATCCCAAAAAGAGCAGATCATGTCAGCTGCACAACATAAATAAAAACAGTCAACTTGAGAAAAGGAATGTTGGGGGCTAGTGTCGTGAAATGATAGCCATTACGCATCGGTCTGTAAGGCTGATAACCTGTCTTACCTGTAATCTGCACAAAATTCAAACTTGGACTCGCCCAGAAATATATAGTCCCTTATATCTATATATATAGGCCTGTATTGGACAACATTATTATGTCTGCCTTTTTCTGGTTACTTTAACTAAACTCCACTTTTAAATTGTCTTTGGAGGATATAGGGAGTGAAGTACTCTTACTACTTGATCCAGTGCCAGCTTCTCAAGCAGATATTCCCAGAGTCAAAGACAGTCGAATCATCCGGAGCTGAGGGAGGCATCATGACAGAAAGAAGGCTCAGATAAGTCTGATGCTTCGCATGATGTTGTGTTCCTCACAGCTCCTCTGATTGTCCAGTGATGACAAGATGTCATCTCCAAGACCTTCTGTCTGTGTAGTATCTTTGTGATTTGGACAGGATATCCTGAGATCTAGCCTAGGAGATCTGGCAATTGTCTCACTTTTATATATCTATTTAATATTGATTACATACATTCATTTTCATGGCTGACTTAGGTGTCTCTATTTCACCTTTTTAAGTGTTTAGCAGTTGTGTATGTATGTGTATCTTCATTATATGTGTTAACATGGTTATGATAATGAACTATCATAACCTGGGGGCTTTCTTTAGTAAGTAGTGGGGGTGTCCAGCCAAGTGTGCCTAGAAATATTATGATATTTATATACTGACATATTTTGTAGTGCCAATACTTGAGTTGCCCTACTCCAGAGATAAGTTGAGCGTATATTGGCCACGGGGAATCCCTTAGACCAATACGAGCCAAACGACTCTGATATGTGACAGAACAACATATCCCCAAAAATCTGTGGTCTCGTCGTGGGATTGTTTTGTACACTGTTCAATCTTTAAATTTGCTGGTGATCTTGGCCAGGAGTTGTTCAGTGTTTGTTTTTTGTTAACACAGTTGTGACCATTCTGGGTCAGTTCTTAGAGTATACTCCTAGGAGTGATTTGTAATCATTGTGGTGTTTTGTGGTGTTCAAGTACATTGGGTTAGGTACAACCTTGGTTGGTGGTGATAATTTAATCTATTGTTGATTATATTTACATTGTTGGTGACAATATATTTTGTTGTGGACTGTTAGATTGACAAGACAGCATGTCGCAGTCAAAAATTTCCATACAGGAATTGAAGGACATGGCTGTCCAGATGGGATTGGAGGGTAAAGAAATGACCGAGTGGATTAAAACCACGGAACGTGAGATGAGGATGGAAGCCCGTGAGGCTGAGAGACTCAGAATTGAGGCAGAGAAGGAAAGCGAAAGACTCCGAATAGAATCTGAGAGGGTGCAAGAAACCGAACGACTCAGGATTGAATCTGAGAGGATTCGAGAAACTGAAAGACTCCGAATTGAGTCTGAGAGGGAGTCAGAAAGAATGAAGTTGGAACAGGAGGTGAGGTTAAGAGAATTGGAACTTCAGGCTCAGAGAGAGGGTAATAGACCCAGATCTCCAACACCTGATATTGATGGTGCATCAACGCACAGTAGCTCAGCTCAAGCGATGAACTTTCCTATGCCAGTCTTCGACCCGAAGGCTGAAAATATTGAACAGTACCTAGACCGATTTGGCAAATTGGCATCTTTGTACAACTTGGAAAGGAATATGTACACGCTGAAGTTGGCTCAAGGTTTGAGGGGTGAGGCATACGAGATTTATCAACGGATGCCCACCGGTACTGAGACTGATTATGATGCATTGTGTCAGGCTTTGCTGAAACGTTTCGAACTTAATGCTGCGACATACAGACAGAAGTTCAGAAATGAGAGAAAGATGACAGGGGAGAACTATCCTCAGTTCGCCAGTCGCCTTCAGGGATATTTGACAAGGTGGAGGGAAATGTCTGGATACTCCTCTTCTTTTGAAGATTTACAGGAGATGATCCTAACGGAACAACTCCGAGAGACATTACCTCGCCCTATGCAAACCTTCCTGACGGAGAATGGTGCTGACAGACTGAGTGAGATGTTGATGTATGCTGAGAGGTATGAGATGGCACATAAAGAAGTGTGTATAGGTGGGAAACCCAAGGCCCAGGGCCAAGGGAAAAATAATGGTAATGGTCATAAAACCCATCCAAATGAATCCCCTAAAAAGAATTCATCCCAAGCACAACCCCAGAACCCCTCAAAAGTTCAGGGAACACAACATAGACAACCCTTTAATGGCCCTAAAAAGCCTTACTGCCATATTTGTAAGAATAATAACCACTGGACTAAGGAATGTAAATCCAAACAGTCAGGGAATTTACAAGTATCAGCTTTGTTGTCTACTGTAGTACCTTCTACCCAGGAACAATTGTACAATGGTTCCAATAGGCCTCCTGTGGTAGAGAGGGTTTGGGCTAATGGATATTCTCTAAATTGTCTGTATGATAGTGGTTTGTCATACGGCTGTGTGGTGAGGCCAGAGTTTGTAAAACCTGATCAGTATACTGGCAGATTCATAGAGCTCCAATGTGCCACATTGGATGCTAAACCTTTAAACTTGCCTATTGCTAAGATTAAGGTCCGTTCAAAGTATGTCTCGGGGGTAATTGAGGCTGCAGTGCTCGAACACTGTACCTTTGATTTAATTCTTGGCGCTACTTATGTATTTTTAGCAGAGCCGAAGAAACCTTCAGAGCATCTTGCTGCGGTGACCACCCGAGCACAACATAAAAGTGCCTTAGAGGATTCTCCTCATGTAAATCCTCTTCCTGAGGAAATTAAGGTGGCCCAAAGTAGTGACCCAACCCTTAAGGCATGTTTTAAAAAGTTAACTGCAAGTCACAATCCCCCTTTGAAGAAAGAATTCTTCATGAAAGGTAAGTTGCTTTACAGATGGGCAAGTGACAAGTATACAGAGCACAGTCAACTTGTAGTACCCAAAACATATAGACAGCAGATTCTCCAGATGGGGCACACTATAGCCTATAGTGCCCATATGGGAATACATGCAACGACACAACGCATTGCCTGTCATTACTTTTGGCCAGGTATGTCAGCAGATATCATGCGTTATGTCAAATCCTGTCCGGAGTGCCAGAAGGTAGCTCCCAAAGGCAGGAATGCACCAGTCGGACTGGGGGAAACCCCTGTCACCTCCACACCTTTTGAAAGGGTGGCGGTCGATTTGGTTGGACCACTTCCTCTCACAAAGAAGAAGAATGCTTACATATTGACCTTGGTCGACTGTTGTTCAGGGTATCCGGAGGCTGTTGCACTTCGGAGGATTGACAGTAAGACTGTGGCAGAGGCATTGATGAGCATTTTCACCAGAGTGGGATTCCCTTCGCAGATATTGACAGACAATGGATCTCAGTTTAAAGGGAAACTAATGGAGGAAGTGTTTCAGATAATCAAGTCTCAACACATTTGCACCAGTCCATACCGACCCCAAGCGAACGGCCAGAATGAGCGGTTCAATGGAACGTTGGTATCGCTTCTGAGAAGATTAACCCAGGAAAAGCCAGAGAGGTGGGACGAGTATCTGTCTGCAGCACTATTCGCCTACCGGGAAGTACCCAATGCCTCTACTGGATTTCCACCTGCGACCTTGGTGTTCGGAAGACCCATTTCTGGACCCTTGGCCATTCTCAGGAAGACATGGACAGACGAGGGGGCAGATGATTCCTTGAAAACCATATCACAGTATGTGCAGGAACTCAAGGAAAGGTTAAAGCTAGGGTGGGACCTGGCCAAAGAGAACTTGATTCGTGCACGTAAGAGGTACGCTGCACATTTCAACCGGAAGACGAAGGAACGATGTCTTGAGGTTGGAGATAGGGTGCTTTTGCTGCTACCATCAGGGAAGTCTAAGTTAGAGTTAGCTTGGGGAGGCCCTTATACGGTGGTAGAGAAGATATCCAGGATCCATTATAAGATCAACATTAAAGGTAAGTCAAAGGTCTATCACATTAATCTCCTCCGGAAATACAACGAGAGAGAGGTAAGTGACACACCGACCCTCTTGACACTTTCTGTAGCTATGGAGGTGGAAGGTGGAGAAGCCACAGCTGTGGAATATCCTCTTCACCCCAGGGAGACCTATAAAGATGTAGAGGTTAACCCAACTCTCTCTGTCTCTCAGAAACAAGCTATAGGACCACTCTTGTCAGAGTATAACTCTGTCCTGACAGAGAAGCCAGGGCAAACTTCATTATTGGAGTATGATACGACATTGGTTCCTGTTGAGCCTTTCAGTCAATGCCCTGTGCAAGCTCCTCTTTTTAAAGAGGAATGGAGTAAACCTCCAGACCATCAGGAGGACCAGAAGGTGAAGAATTTTCAATTCACACCAGGGTTCCTTCCTGTGTTTGTTGGAGCACATAGTGACGAGGGGAGGATTAACCTTCCGAACCTCGCGAAGGATCAGACGGGAGGGATTATATCCCACATGCCTCGACGACCTTCCTGTGTGACTACTGATGTAGGAGACACACCGGTATATTTCCTGAATATGACAGGAGTACCAGGATGGTGTGTAGGTTTATTCAGCCAACCCGATCGGGGGGTTCGGTCTGAACCTACATCTTTGCATGTACCTGGCAGGGATCAGTGATACATGGATGGAGTCATCAGTCTTAGGTCTTCAGGGCCATCGACTGATTCTATATAGATTCCTTGTTGATTAGTATTGTATAGTGGTCATAGGTTTCTCTATTTTCACATGAATTGTCATTATTGTATATATTTCATCTGTCTCTGAGAGGTTGGTTTGGTCAACCCTTTGATTCAGAGCAGATTTCTTGAGCCGCCATCCCTTGTCTGATAATTCACAGACTGAAGGTGATGAGCAAGCTGAAAGTAGTGAGTCCATAGATGTGTAGATGGCTGATCATTTTTCATTCGCGTAGTACGCTCTTCCCTTTGGGGGGGGGGGGGGGGGTACTGTCGTGAAATGATAGCCATTACGCATCGGTCTGTAAGGCTGATAACCTGTCTTACCTGTAATCTGCACAAAATTCAAACTTGGACTCGCCCAGAAATATATAGTCCCTTATATCTATATATATATAGGCCTGTATTGGACAACATTATTATGTCTGCCTTTTCTGGTTACTTTAACTAAACTCCACTTTTAAATGTATATCTCTTGGAGATATATTAAGGGAGTTATTTGAGGTTTCGTGAAAACCGATTTACTCCTTGCCCAAGTATACAAGGGACTTCTTTTGTACCAACGCCTGAAGTGTCTAAGTGACGCTATTCTCCTTGCCAGCTTCTCAAGCGTCCAGATGTGTTAATCTGTGCCTGTATAAATTTCACTTTTCAAGGCAATCTGGAATGTCTCAGTTTTTACATATGCTTGGGATGTATATTTTCTGAAGAGCTGGCAGAAGATTCACAGTCCAACCAACATCCACCAACCATCAAACCACCAGAAACAAACGGTTACCCACCAGCTAACACCTGTGAAGGTTCCTGACATCTCCAACATGTGGGAGATGGTACCTCAAACAGCTACCAGTGCTAGAGCTTAGTGTGGCTCAAAGACATTGTGTGTCCTTACTGGTGATAGAGACTTGCTAAACACCGGTACAGTTGCTGTGTCTTCTATGGCGAAGTACTCTTTCACTACCTGATCCAGTTGAGCAGAATTACCAGAGTCAAAGACAGTCGAATCATCAGGAGCTGAGGGAGGCATCATAGACAGAAAGAGGCTAAGTGCAGTTTGATACCTTATGTGCTTTATTCCTCACAGCTCCTGGGTTGTCCAATGATGACAAGATGTCATCTCCAAGACCTTCTGTCTGTGTAGTATCTTTGTGATTTGGACAGGATATCCTGAGATCTAGCCTAGGAGATCTGGCAATTGTCTCACTTTTATATATCTATTTTATATTGATTACATGCATTCATTTTCATGGCTGACTTAGGTGTCTCTATTTCACCTTTTTAAGTGTTTAGCAGTTGTGTATGTATGTATCTTCATTATATGTGTTAACATGGTTATGATAATGAACTATCATAACCTGGGGGCTTTCTTTAGTAAGTAGTGGGGGTGTCCAGCCAAGTGTGCCTAGAAATATTGTATTTATATACTGATATATTTTGTAGTGCCAATACTTGAGTTGCCCTACTCCAGAGATAAGTTGAGCGTATATTGGCCACGGGGAATCCCTTAGACCAATACGAGCCAAACGACTCAACATAATTATCTCTGAGTGCTGTTGGTTCTGAAGGAAAAATCCTTACATTAGGCACGCGACAGGAGTGATATGTGACAGCTAGACAGCTTTTTTCAGGACAACAAATGAGACATTGATCAAGTCATATAAAAGACTGCATATAATAATTAGTTTCTATGTGTCTAACCCCACTTGGAAAGGAATACATGTTGAACATGTGCTCACCATGAATAGACAAAGGACTGGAAGTGATCCGGACAGAAGGATACGTGAGAGGTTGGGGTCACAGTTTTGGAAGCTAGTGACAGAAACAACAACAGCAAACATGGTACATCTGTTCTTAGTATAGACAAGGACAAGAAATAAAAATTCCACATTTACAGAAACGGAATGTGTCAAAACATTTAGAAATTCAGTCTCAATAACATTAGTTCTTAGTCTGTACCATGTATACATGTAGAGATGTAAACCAGTTCAAGATTAAAGGTGGCAAGGAGGGACAGAGTCAAGGGGACGATTGAGAAATTAAAGACAGAAACATAATTCTAGGTGAGACAAGAAAATTAAATGACGATGTCTTTATTATTACTTACTTAGCATAATAATAGTATCAGATAAAGTGTGGTATTTATATCCCTTTATTGAAATAATAGTTTCATAAACTTTAAGCATACTTGTGGTCAGGAACTGAAATGCCGCAAATGCCAGATGTTTGGGTAGAGTATAGGTCCTTGTATCTGCCACAAGTAATTGATAATCCTCTTTCTGTTTCAGTAGAGGTTGTCCCTTCTGCCGGTTATCCACTGGCAAAGCAGAAAAAGATACTGTCAGGCAATATTTGTTTTCCTTATGTAACACAATATTATGGGTTAAAAATCAATGACACAGTTTAATACAAAAACAGTTCATCTTAAACTGGAGTGTCCTAGGTGACCATGGGAGTGGCCATCGACCATGCTCAGTGTGGATATTAAACCAAACAATAAGAACGCTAAGAGAACGCCTAGGACCTTTAAGTGTGACTGGACCTACACCATTTTTTTGGCAGGGTTCAGGAAAACAGATGACAGGTGGCAGCCCTACTTATGTGCAGTCTTTATTGTGGACTCCGAAAGTAGAACTGACATGAAAATCTGATAGATCTACACGTCGTTCTGCAGATAACAGTCACAAGAAGAAGTGGAGAAAGCAGAAAGTTGTAGGGAAGAAAATGTACACGATTTCAAGCTGTGTGCAGCAGATGCAAAACAAAACAAAAAACTAAATGGTAACATAGTGGAATGGAAAAAACAAACAACTTCAAAAGAGATAACTATATGACAAGGTCAAGAAACAAAAAGAGAAATGGAAAGAATTTCTGCGCAGATACAATATAATAACAACGAAACCCAAAATTCAGTTAGAGAGGATTTATGAGTACCATGAGGGATAATTTTTGTAAAGATACAATTTAGGTGATGTCCGAAGCCTCATGATCATTAAAAGAAAAGTCAAAAGAGGAGGCAAATTGAGGTTAATTTATAGCCTTCGATAGGAGCCATATGAGCACAGTCGCAGCAAAATACCAAAATGGGCTCAATGCACTGAAAATTTTGGCAGCAATGGACAAGGAGCACAAATTTATGTGCCAGCATTTGATTATTTCGGTAATGGATTATGAATTGGGATCGACCACCGTATCAGGGGTCAGCTGGTGACACTTTAAAGCTTTCAGAACGAAGCCATGCTGGTGGTCCTAGGATGTACAAGAGACAGCCCAGTAGTCTTTATGCGATGCATCCTTTTTTTGCCAACTATGGCCGACAGAATCAAAGTTATGCATTTTCAGCCATACTCCAGGTAGCCGCAGGCAAAAATGACTTTCTTCGTGGAAACACAGACAAAGCAAATGATTACAGGCTCATAAGAGGACATTTAGGATGATACGGGCAAAATACACAAACAGGAACGTGTGTATGCGTGGGTAAGAAATCAGAGAAGAGGAGTGGGTCCAAGTGTCAGAGCAAAAACTGGACTTGTGTAAGGTTCTTACCTGAGCTGGGGATGCAGGGACAGGCTAGTAGAAATTACAGAATCATAAATTTGGCTTTAATACGTGACAACTTCCGCTCAGGTGTTATGATTTTCTACACAGATGGCTTTGTTTTGAGAAACAGAATAAGTGCATAGGGGCTAATTTGGAAAGCGAATGAATGACGTTTATTCAACAAAGCCTAGCATATAATAGTACAATATTTAGTTTGTGAAAGGAAGTGGAGATAATCACAACAGCTTCACACCAGCTTGAGAACCAGCTTTACTTACATTTCAAGAGTGGCAAGCATCGCTTCAGAGGTCCCGGTAGTCAGCGTCAGATGGATACTTTCTCCTAGAAACTCAGGTATTTCAGGAAATGAACAGACTATCTATTTCTGTAGGTGGGTGACCATGCATGATAGACTAAATACGGTCAGGACCCTTTGGGATCAAGTGAAAAAAGTGGAGTCACAAACAGAATATTAATGTCTTCAAAGTGACCAGAGAATCTGGTCCCATTCTAAACTCAGAGGAAAAACAGGACAGACATAATCAAACTGCTACTGGCTCTATTTGAAATGGAACTCTTCGCAGGCTGCTGAAAATAAAGATGGGTGCTTATGGAATGTTTCGCGTGCTGTGAGATGTCAACTATTATTTAAATATACTAAAAGAACCATATCAAGAAACAGGAGAAGAGAAAATGAAGATACAGAGAATGTGTCGGTGAAAGAAAAATGAACTTGGGTGGAAGGGTGGAGAAGAAGACAAACAAGAAGAAGAAGAAGAAGAAGAACAAGAACAAGAAGACAAAAGAAACAAGAAGAAGGCTAAAAGATAAAGAAGAAAGATAAGCATAAGAAAAAGATTGTGATATTTTGAATGACAATGAGATGTTTTTTATAGGTTCTCACTCTTGAGATCTGTTTCATCGACAATTTCGCTCTGCAGGATCTCTTCAATGACATCCTCTAGTGTGATAACACCCAAGTTTTCGAAGTAAGGGTCTCTGTCAGCTGGGCTGTGCAATTTCTGGACAATGGCCATGTGAGAACTACCAGCTGGAAACAACAGTGCAATAGAGTTAATAGCATCCAGCTAAGAAATACATCCTCTGTACAATCTCTTTTCTGTCTATGTCTACATCCGTCAGTCATTCATTCTCCTCAGACTTAGAATAAAACTGACCTCTGCTTGAAAAACTGATGTCAGTAAGTATCCAGGAAAGTAATGTGACCAGTGTGATGTTGACTCACTAAAGGCCAATTTTTCTATGCCAGTAATAATTTAACACTATATGCCTAGTGCGTCAAAGGCGTAAAAACATCCAAATTGTTTTTGTTTAAACTATGACATCAAGTCGGCGCTGATACACTCTATCAAATGTAAACATTCGAGTACTATAAAGTGACTGGGAACTGTGATTGTGTGCAGTTATCACGCTTGTCAGGTTCTCAGATGTTTGAATCGTTTGCAATATGGTGACTTTTTCATTCACCTGTATTCCAAGGCTGACACCACCTAAAACCTTAAGAGGGAAGTGAATTGGAAGTAGAGGCAGCCAGAGTAATATTGCCTCATCACTATTTCGTACCAATAGTTTCTACAAAAATAGTCGGACCAGTATCTTTATTTGGCAACGGCATGGGAAGCATAGCTTCTTTTAGTGAAGCGTCTTATGAGGTTTCTGTAACAGACCGTACTGAAAACACAAGTGATTTCCTATATTCCTGTCTGCAACAGTATCACTGTCCATTTGTGTCGTATTCTGTTAAAGCATTTCTAACCGCAATTTTCACTGTCATTCATGACTGTGAGACTGTGAAGCTGGGCAGGTTCCAAGTTTCATTTGGACTGTTATTTTTCATGTTATAACTATATGGAAGCAGCAGTTTGTAACCAATTTTTGTCAAGACAATGACAGGTAAAAAAGTGTCTACAGTGGTAAAATGCATACGTGTATGTTTATAGGACCTCTTGAAGATTCTTTCTAAATTAACATTAAAAGGTCGATACATAAAATGGTTGAAATATGTCTGACTGGGGCTGGTAAGGACAGTTTGCGATAGAAAACTGAAAGCTAAATTTAATAGTTTCATATTTTATCATTTCAAGAGCTGTTTCAAAATGTTCTGAAACCTTTGTAAAGTCACACAGCGTACGACATAGTCTTACCTTGCAGAAATGCTTGTAGCATTGCATCTAGCTTGACATCGTGGTCAACAAACAGGGGCCTATGATCATAAAATCTGCATACTGTACTAACCAGGGTTTTATCATCTGGGTCAATAAGAGCAAGCTCTTTGGTGTTTAAAAGATTGATGATATTGGTTTTTTCCCCATCGTACACGGGGATCCGTGTGTAGCCCTGGTGCATTATTTCTGTTATTGTCTCAAAGTCCAGTACAGTGTTAATTTCAAGCATGTAAACGTCCTCAATCCTAGTCATGACATCTTCAACACGCTTGGTAGTCAACTGCAGTGCTCCAGAGATTATGTTGGCTTCATTATCGTGTATAATTCTTCGATCAGCAGTCACACGTATCAGCTCCTGCAGCTTTCTCCTTGTTGAAGGCTTGTCCCATTTCTTGGCCTAGGAAAAGATCTAGCACCAGAGAAATCGGAAAGGCAGCAGGGAATGTAATAATAAACAACAGAACAGTAATCCAGTAAGTTTTAGCCCCGACCGCTAAGCCATGACGTCGCGCGAACAGACAGCCTGTGGTACAATTTCACCAACGACAACAATTGCAGCTGTGGAGCAAATAAACAGCAACAGCGTTATTTGTCATTTCCTCGAACAGAATGGTGAACGTCGTATTGACAAGTACATTTCCCAGCAAAATCGAACAAAGAAGCAAAATTGCCCCTTTTTTCACGTAATGGAGCTATGCGGTTTGCATATTGTTTTTCTTGAGGTG